GGGGAGAAGAGATCTCCAAGTGGTGGGCAGCATCTTCAACCAACCGCCGCATCAGTGCCGCACCTCCCACGCATAGCTGTCCGAGACTGACTAACCGGTCGCATCCTCTGCTGCGAGCTGCAGAACGCGCACCAGCCGGAAAGCTCGGCAGCCGACGCCAGACGGTCGTAGGACAAATTCATTAAGGCCCGCGTCTGTCGCAAGAAGCAAGAGGGTAAAGAATGGGGTGGGGTTTTGGACAAATTTACTGAAAACGCGAATTGCAGAAGTTCCGCGTTGTTAGCAACGGTTTTAAGACTTTGAAAAGGACCAGGAACGGGTGTGAGAATCCGAGAGAGCAAACCCCTATGGGCCCCAGGGGTGTCAGTATTAATAATTCCGCCCACGAATCCCAGCTGCTTACAGCGGGATGGGACCGGCTTGGCTACAGGAGCAGCTCTGCCCAATAGACATATAATGCAAACACATATGTTAATAATGTATTTTATTCAAATCAACATATCCAGAATTTTACTTCACCTGTTGGATATTTAACATGAGTGAGATGTTTTACTTTTTTTTCGTACACATTTTCGAAACCCGGTGTGTATTTTACGCCTAGCCCATCTCAGTGTGACTAACTACATTTCAAATACTGTACTTAGTAACCACGTGGGGCTGGTGCTACTGAATTGGACAGCGCAGATAGAGGTTAACAGAAGGTAATAAGCTGCAATCAATGCCTTAAAACGTTAAACAGATTAAAAGTTAAAATTAACTGCGTTTTTAGGTCCACTAATAAAAATTTGAAGACTCCAAATATTTCAGAATTTAGAATTTTCCAGATTTTAGGCAGGTATTCAGAGCATTCCCCGTGTGTTATACACCCTCTGCTGGAACTCTGGAGTGACATCATGTAGTGGAACTCATTAACATTTATGCTAAAAATAATACCCTAAGTAGAATAAACAAAGACCATAATAGGCTCACATTTTGCTAAGTTTTATTCCAATGAGTTTGGTGTCAAATAAAAAATTTTTTGGTGTTCAGAACTACTTGGTTTTCAGAATTGTGAATAGAGACATATGCTATACAAGCTCACCTGTTTTGTCACCTACAAAAAACAGCCTACTTTTTATAAGGCTGACATGAGGGCCAAAAATTTTAATGAGATCACATATAAATACTTAGTAAGTTGTAAAGCATGATAGTAATATCTTGTGTTATCAGTTTTAAAAGTTGTAGGATTAATGTCAATAGCAAATGGTCAAAAGACATGGACAGAGCACATTACAGAAACAGGAATATAATAAAATAATGTACAGTTTCATATATCTCATTAAAAAGTAATTAAATCAGATAAAATTTATCTTGTCAGTATCTAAAGGTTTAGAGAATGGAACCTCATTGTTGGTGAGCTAGATTGGATATTTTCATCAAAAAGAAACTTGGCAATGGCTACAAAATGTTTAAATGTATCTACTCTTTGAGGTAGCAATTCACTTCTAGAATGTATCCTACAGATATTCACGCACATATAAAGATCTGCATTTTTAAATGTTTTTTGCAACATTATTTGAAAACTGAAAAGACTAACAAACTAAATGTCCCTATAAGACCAGTTAAATTAGGAAAATGCATTCAATGATACCATGTAGCCTGAAAAACATGAGTTAGATCTATGTGTGCTGATTTGGAAAGATCTCCATATATGGTAAGTGAAAAAAAGTACGTGAAGTGTACATGGTAATGTAATTCCAGCTGTATACACGCAGATATGCGTTATCTATATAAAATTTTATGACATTATATATAAATATATATAATACTAATATTATGTTCTATATTATTTTACATATTATATATCTTATAATTATATAATAAGCTACAGGTAGTATGGAATTTATATACAGTATGGATATATCATATATATGATACAGTATATATATAGTATAGTATCATACATATATATAAAACTGTTAACAGTGGTTACCCCTATTGGGGAAGGTGGTGCAAATTTTACCTTAAAGTTTATACCCTTCTATACTATTCTAAACTATGTTTATATATTACTTATATAAATTTTAAAGTTTACTTTTATTTATTATTTTTTAATTTTTTCATATTATGGGGGTACAAATATTGTTAGGGTTACATATATTGCCCCTACCATTCCTCCCCCTGCCCCCCCCCCAACTTTTATTTTTTTGAGACAGAGTCTCACTCTGTTGCCCAGGCTAGATTGCCATTGTGCCAGCCTAGCTCACAGCAACCTCAAACTGGGCTCAAGCAATCCTCCTGCCTCAGCCTCCGAAGTAGCTAGAACCACAGGCATGCACCACCATGCCCAGCTAATTTTTTCTATATATTTTTAGTTGGCCAATTAATTTCTTTCTATTTTTAGTAGAGACAGGGTCTAGCTCTTGCTCAGGCTGGTCTTGAACTCCTGAGCTCAAACGATCCACCCACGTTGGCCTCCCAGAGTGCTAGGATGACAGGTGTGAGCCACTGCATCTGGCCTAAAGTTTCCTTTTTTAATAAATCCTAATATTGTACCATGCGTTCAAGAGCCAAATGTGTGGGTTTTGCCTTTTAAGTTAGTCTTTTGTACACATTAAGCACTCAATTGTGGATGAATGGAGTAGCTATTGAATGGAGGAGTAAACAGACAGACATTAACTAGTGTAACAATTAGTTTTTAAAGTATAAAGAGATTTCTGAAGTGTACAGTAAGCTGAGGTGGCTGATTTTAGGGATGACAGTATTAGCTATAAGAAATCAGAGCACAGATCTGGGCAAGAGGAATTACCCCAGCTTGGTTATAAGCCTGTCCACATCTTTCTTCTTCCAACCTCAACAACAAGAGCCAGGATCTCTGACACCCAACCCCACTTCCTTGAGAGAAAATCTAGAGGGAGAAGAGGATTGCCACTAGGAGGAAGAAATACAAGAAGGAAAGAGACAGAGAACAGTTCCAGAGATTTATTATACTCCATGTTTCTTCTTTGGCTTTTGCTTTACCCATAAACACACATACTAGAGATTTACTATAATCTATATATTTCTTCTTTAGCTTTCGCCCTGCCACATACACATACATACTGAAATAACGGAGCAGCCCAAACACAGAGATTATAAACCAATCAACAGGAAGTCAGAAGTCCCAATATCCTCCCCATCCTGCCATCCAGTGCAGCACCACAGTCAAGTGCCTGGGAGGAAAACATAAACCATGAAGGAGGATCCTTAAGAAAGAGCTTCTAGGAAAGATCAGAGATCCCAGAGGACCTTGGTGCACAGCTAAAAAGCTGACAAAGGCCCCGGCTCTAGCTTTTCAGAGCAACTGAAGGATGGCCGCAGCTTCCTTCCCAGCCCTGCTGTCACAGAAATTAATTACTTGTTGCATCAGCACTGTCAGAATCATCCTAGGGGGAAAAAAAAGACAAAGCATTTGGAGTCACTATAAAGAGTGGACATTTGTGATAAAAAATGCTGCTCATTCCCTCCTGCTCTCCAAGTTTCTTTTTGTGATTTTATAAATCACATGACTTAGGAGGCTAATAAGGAAGGATTTTAACTTTGGATAATAAGCAAGCCACTGGTACTCAATAAATAGCACTATGTCATGCATCATTTAGTTTCAGAATTTTAATTAATACTATTGCTCATTATAGCTATATAGAAACTCAACAAGGCCAGGTCGATCCTAGGATGGAGAAGTAGAGGAGGAGATGGAAAGGAGGAGTGTCTTGCTGGGGTTTTCTAAATTCTGTAGACCTCTTGTGTCAAATTCAAAATTGGTTAACATGCACTGAGAACTACTGTGTGCTACGGAATAGGATGGGAGCTTTAAATCTAGTGTATCTACTCTTTGACCTAGCAATTCCACTTTTTAAAGGCTAAAATGAAATTGAAGGATTGAGGGAAGGCTTTACTTACATCCAGGTCATCCATGGCAGGGGGTGGTCTCTTGGTGCTGACCTTCTTCAAAAGCTAGTGGGAAGAGAAATAAAGTCCAAGAGAGAAGGGGGGTGAGGGAAGAGCAATCTGTATATTAATGGGCCACAGGAGAATGGTCCCAGCCACAGCCAGTCAGGCAACTGCTGTCATTTTTATTGTTATTATTAATTATTATTATTTATAAAGAAAAGATAACTAGGCACAGTGGTTCACACCTATAATCCCAGCACTTTGGGAGGCCAAGGCAGAAGGATTGCTTAAGGCCAGAAGTTCAAGACCAGCACGGTGGCTCATGCCTGTAATCCTAACACTCTGGGGCCTGTAATCCTAACACTCTGGGAGGCCAAGGCTGCTAAAACGCTCAAGGTCAGGAGTTTGAAACCAGCCTGAGCAAGAGTGAGACCTGCTCTACTAAAAATAGAAAGAAATTAACTGGACAACTAAAACATATAGAAAAAATTAGCCAGGCATGGTGATGCATGCCTGTAGTCCCAGCTACTCGGGAGGCTGAAGCAGAAGGATCACTTGAGCCCAGGAGTTTGAGGTTGCTGTGAGCTAGGCTGATGCCACAGCACTCTACCCTGGACAACAGAGTGAGACTCTGTCTCAAAAAAAAAAAGAAGTTCAAGACCAGCCTGGGCAATATAGTGAGATCCTGTTTTTACAAAAGTAAAAAAATTAGTCAGGCATGTTGGCACACCTATAGTCCCAGCTTCTCAAAAGGCTGAAATGGGAGGATCCCTTGAGCCAGCCCAGGAGTTCAAGGTTACAGTGAGCTATGATCAGGCCATTACATTCCAGCCTGGGCAACAGAATGAGACCCTTTCTCTAAAAAGAGGGAAAAAAGATGTTTCTTTGGTTTATAGTTCTGGTGGCTAGGAACGAATCCCATCTTCAAAGCCCTTAATATATCACTGGAATTAATTAAAGAAAATTAAATTGATTCCCTTCTTCTTTTTTTTTTTTTTTAAGACAGAGTCTCACTTTCTTGCCCAGGCTAGAGTGGGTGCCGTGGCATCAGCCTAGCTCACAGCAACCTCAAACTCCTGGGCTCAAGCAATCCTACTGCCTCAGCCTCCCGAGTAGCTGGGACTGCAGGCATGCGCCACCATGCCCGGCTAATTTTTTCTATATATATTAGTTAGCCAATTAATTTCTTTCTATTTATAGTAGAGACGGATCTCGCTCTTGCTCAGGCTGGTTTCGAACTCCTGACCTCAAGCAATCTTCCCGCCTCAGCCTTGATTCCCTTCTTAAGAGAAAATTTAAATACACACACACAGAGCACCCTCCCTATTAATCCAGATGGGGGGGGATGTTTGTCAGTGTTTTGCAATTTGAATAAATAGCAGCTAAAATTCTAAAACCAAATAATATATGACAGGGTGATATTTATTGGGAACTAGTGATTTATTTTATGATATTATTTTTTATACTGCTAGTTTTAGCTTCCCATGAAGATGTCTGGCTCAGGAAGAAAAAGAAAAAAAACACAAAGAAAATATAAGAGAGGGCTGGTACAGTGGCTCATGCTTATAATCCTATCACTCTGGGAGACCAAGGCTGGAGGATTGTTTCAGACCAGGATCTTGAGACCAGCCTGGGCAACAGTGAGACCTCATCTCTACAAAAAATTAAAAAAAAAAAAAAATAGGAGAATGAGAATTACAGAAAAGTGGGAAAAGTTTTATCAAACTTCTTCAGAACATAGGCTCTACCCTGTAAATAGCAAGTGAGCAAGTGAATCTATATATATAATATCAGTAATATTCATTCTTCTTGTCCCTACTAAATAAACATTGCACAAATATGTAAAAAATATCAGTACCAATGGCTAGCCTGCCTAGGAAGCTCATATATCTCTGCCTGGCCCTGATGACAATTCCCCAAAGAAATGTGTGCAGAGAGACACAGAGAATGATCCAGGTGGGCAGAAAACAGCAGATGCTGTCTCTCTCTTACCTCTGCGTAATGTTCTACATGAGCCAGCTCCACCTCTTCATCCCCTTCCCAGTCTCTCCAGTTATCAAAGTCCACAGACAGCCACACTGGCTGCAAGAGGAAGCACAGAGGGTCACAGTCCAGGAGGACAGCAGCAAGAGTGTGTGGGAGAGTGTGAGCATGTACACAGGAACATGCTTAGGGATCAGTTGGGCACACAATCCTTCCACTCACACCCCGTTGACCAGCACCTCTCCAGATTGCCATGTCATCATCATCATCCACGAAGATTTACCAGGAACCCACTAAGTGCCACGCACAATGCCAGGAATGGTAGAGCCTGAAAAAATATAGAAATTCTGCCCTCCAGGAACAGACTGTCTAGGGAGACAACGCATCTGGAAAAATAAATGTATCAGGCCAGGCATGGTGGTTCACACCTGTAATCCTAGCACTCTGGGAGGCTGAGGCAGGCGGATTGTTTGCGCTCAGGAGTTAGAGATCATACAAATGTGAAGAATGTGGCAAAAATAATTAAAAAAAAAAAAAAAAGGAGTTTGAGACCAGCCTGAGCAAGAGCAAGACCCCGTCTCTACTATAAATAGAAAGAAATTAGCCAAACAACTACAAATAGAAAAAATTAGCTGGGTGCGGTGGTACGTGCCTGTAGTCCCGGCTACTTGGGAGGCTGAGGCAGGAGGATCACTTGAGCCAGGAGTTTCAGGTTGCTGTGAGCTAGGCTGACGCCATGGCACTCTAGCCCAGGCAACAGAGTAAGACTCTGTCTCAAATAAATAAATAAATAAAATAACTGTATCATCATAGGGGTCAACCAAGGAATATAGACAAGCTGCATTCCCTGGAGTCAGAGACAACCTTTTGAGGCCCATGTTCCAATGTTCTCACATTTATACAGGGAAGAAGTTATTCATGCATTCATTCAACAGATATTTATTGAACACTTAATATGCCCAGAACCCTGAACTTGGATTATAAAAATGTTCAACACACTGCCCCAGCCATGAGGAAGCAAATGGGGAAGGAGATGTAAATAAATCATTATAATACAGTGTGAACGTGTGGTGGTGGAGTTATATAGGTGATATCATGGGAACCCCAAAAGGAGTCCTGGGAACACAGGTTCTTGGAGGACCAGGGCCTCGAAGGTTGTACAGGGATTACATGGGTGAAGGTAGTGGTGAGGGTGACTTTCCCAGAAGAAGACACAGCCTGAGCAAAGGTACAGAGGTGAGAAATAGCCTGATTTGTGCAAAAGAGCTATAAACAGTCTGCTGTGGCTGGAATGTAAAGTTTGAGGCAGAAAGTATGGGATGGGCTTGTGTGTCATTCTACGGTACATAGACTTCAACTTAAAGTACAGAAAGTGAAAAGTTCAAATGCCCAAAAGAGTCAGGGAGGTACCAAACAGGAGTAAAGTGATATGGAGTGCATGCTCCATTTAAAGCTTCAACTCTAGGCATTTGGGAATTTATACCAGTGTAGATGGATTCTCCCATTTTTCAAGAGAAGCTGATAATCTGAATTTTTAGGTGAAATATCCACATTTTAAAATGTCAGCAACTAATAAAAATATTATATGTCAACAACCAATCAAAATAATTTTTAACACTGTGAAGATTGCTAAAATAAATTTGAAAGCAAGATCCAGCCACCAGGCAGCCAGTTTTCAACCTTTACAGGAGAAGAAGCCATTGGAGAGTCTTAAGTGGGAGAGTGGCAGGGTCAAGTGTGTGTTTTAGACAGACCATGGTGGGGCAAGAGGAGGACGGATTGAGGATAGGGCTGAAAAGATGCAACAAACCTCTCACCCAGTGATGGATAAGGCCTCAACTAGGAAGAAATTAAGTAGTGGATTCAAGAATATTTAGGAGGTCAAATAGGCAGGACCTAGGGAGTTATTGAATGTTGGCTGGAAAGGAGGCAAGGATGATCCCAGCTCCAACTTGGGTACCTGGATAGAAGGAGCAGGCCACATGCCACACACTCACCTTGATATCCTCCTTGGTGAGCCGGGGCCAGGCCACCTTCTCCTTCCATTTCCTCACAAAGCAAGTAATGGAGCGGCAAGAGCGTTTATCCTGGGAGTCCTGCCAAACAGAAAGCCTCATTCTTAGGGTGTGAGATTTAAAATGAGTCTGCAGTTTCCCTGGGCTGCCTTTCCTCCAGACCTCACTGTTCCACCCCACCCTTACCTTGGAGTTCACCTTGGCATAGAACTCAATCTCATTGTACAACTCCACTCCATCTGCATTCTTACAGCTAAGGAGACGAAGATGAAGAGATGCAAATGCCTGAGTATGGGGGTGTTAGGAGGGGGAGGTTCCTGGGAAGCCAGGTCCTCCAGAAGGGAGGCCTTTACCTGAACACAATGCGGTGGTCCTCAATGAGTACATAGACATCAGTGCTGTCCTCAACGCAAAACTCCATGAACACATACTTGGGCCTGTCGTACCACAGGGTCCGGGCGTGCTGCCTGAAGAGGAGTTGAGGTGGGGCTTCATAGGGGTGGGAGAGGGAAGACTGGGCATTTGGGAAAGGTGGAGGGAGAGGACAATACAAGGGCATTTGATGCCACAGTCTTGTCAAAGAGGAGCTAAATGAGACAGAAGGGTGGAAAGGAATGCCTGGAATGGGTGGGTGTGCAGATGGTGAACCAGGAGAGAATCGGAAGTGCAAGACTAGGGAAGTAGGGGGTTAAGGAGAACATTCAGGTCATACCTCCCCTCACCCCACTGTCACAGACACCTGGGTCTGGGGCTCCCATGGGGCCTCGCAGAACCTGGAGCACCCAGGAAAAGACCTGGGGCAGGGACTCTCCAGGGAAAAGGGCCAGCGGGAGCACCGCCGCCAAAAACACTTACCGTGCCATGGTGGCGCCTGCTACTGGGTGGCGTTTGGAATCCCAGGCAGGGCAGCTATCTTTAGATCCTGGGGACGTCCCCAGCAGCTGCCTCTCCTTATATGGTCGGGAGAAGGGTTGAGAGGAAAGGAGAACATGGCCCAACAGCCAAAGGATCTGCACTCCGGAGATAACCTGAGAGAGTTTAATCCCCGCAGCCTTTCACCTCTCCGGGTCTCCAGAAATGTATAGATTAGGAACAGAGACAACCCGCACGCTGGGACCACGGCAAGGGCTACCTTAGACACAAGGTACCACAGAGGGAAGGACTTGTCTTTGGCCCCATTACAACGCTTAGTACCCAGGGCCTGATTCACAATAGGCGCTCAATGAAAAATTATTGGCCGGAATTAAATCCCCAGGGAAGACCCACCCAGACGACGTAGCCACTGCAAGCCCCGCCCGCAGCTATCCCCCTCCCCCGTGTCTGGGCCAGCGCGCCGTCGCCATGGCAGCAAGGGGGCGCGGCTGACGTGCGGCGGCGTTTCCGGGAAGATGGCGGCTGTTGAAGCGGCTGCGGAGCCGGTAACGGTGGTAGCGGCTGTTGAGCCCAAAGCGAAGGACGAAGAGGAGGAGGAAGAGGAGTCGCTGCCACCTTGCGAGGCGGTGCGATGGGCCCCCGTGGGGGCGGTGGCGGAGGCCGGGCCCGGGGCGGCTGCGTTTGTGGAAGAGGCGGCGGCGGAGGAGCCCAGCGCTGCCCCGGGCTCCCCGCCTGACTCGCCGGGCCAGACGCTGCAGCGGCTGCGGGCCGAGAGGAGGCGGCTGGACTCGGCGCTGCTCGCGCTGTCCTCTCACTTCGCGCAAGTGCAGTTTCGCCTGCGCCAGGTGGTGCGCGGGGCGCCGGCGGAGCAGCAGCGCCTCCTGCGCGAGCTCGAAGACTTCGCCTTCCGCGGCTGCCCTCACGTCTTGGGTTATGAGGGGCCTGGGGACCCCGCCAGCGACGAGGGCGACAGGCTGCCAGGGGACCAGCCACGGTTGCGGGGCGAGGACCAGGTGAGCGGCTGGGGCGGGGCCGCGAGGGATATGGAAATAGGGGGCTCGAGTGGGTGGCGATGGAGACCCGGATGGTGGTAGAAGGGGTGAGAAGCCCCCACCCAACTGGATGAGTGCGTGGGTCAGAGACTAGGGGACTGGAGGCAGGTGTGCTGGGCCTGCCGAAGGGTGAGAGGACAGAGAGGGCTGGGCACCTGAGGGTGAGCGGCGTGCACTGAAGATGTGGAAAGAGAGATGCCAGTGTGTGATGACATCAGGGGCGGCGGAGCTGTGAGTGATTGAGAGGGCAACAGAGCAATCAATAGAAGCAGCGCTGTTCCCTTTCCCCTCGCCTTATAAAGTACCTAAGTCCTGAACACTTTTGTGATTAGAGTACCCCGATCCTGGGAATTGGGAAAATTGGCAAGTGAAAGCAAAGTGAGGTAGAAACATGGAAATTTGGCTTAACTACCTGTCCTTGCTTTCCTGGAATCTAGCCAAAGTCTTGAATCTTTAGACTCTCTTTTTTTTTTTGAGACAGAGTCTCACTCTGTTGCCCGGGCTAGAGTGCCGTGGCGTAAGCCTAGCTCACAGCAACCTCAAACTCCTGGGCTCAAGCAATCCTTCTGCCTCAGCCTCCCGAGTAGCTGGGGCTACAGGCATGTACCACCATGCCTGGCTAATTTTTTCTATATATTTTTAGTTGGCCAATTAATTTCTTTCTGTTTATAGTAGAGACGGGGTCTCGCTCTTGCTCAGGCTGGTTTCGAACTCCTGACCTTGAGCAATCCGCCCGCCTCGGCCTCCCAAGAGCTAGGATTACAGGCGTGAGCCACAGCGCCCGGCCTTTAGACTCTCTTTGATGGGTGAGAAGTTTGGTGAACAGCAGAGTCTCTTAGTAATTGAAAGAAACACACTCCGGATTATATGAATTTCCTAATGTTTGAATTTTTAAACTCCTCTCCCATCCTGTTTAATAGCTAGATGTTCTGAATGAGGTCCTCTGGTAACAGTGACAAGATCGATTCAGTTCACCTACCCAGAGAAATAGTGAATATACCGCACCCAAGAAACCTTTCCTTACAGGCTTTGAATCTCTGGAAGTACACAGATGTAAATAGCTTGTTGCAAGTATTGAGACACTCTTCCATTTCACCTTTTTGTTATAACCCACAGGTGGCTTTTGTCTTCGTTATAACCCACAGGTGGCTTTCTTCCCACATAAACTGGTTTTAGCCAAGAAGATTTATCAGTAGCAGATATTGATTTGTTTATTTTAATCTGAACTGTTCCTGGTGCAATCCTGTATTTACCGTTCCTCCCTTTTCCACATCCCCACAGCTTCTTGCACAAGGAACAGCCACCTCAAACTGCCAGACTTTAGGACTAGAAAGGATAGAATTACTGAGGCCAAGCTCTGTTGAGGAGTGAATGGCACCAAAGGTCTGTGTGATGTGGAACTCTCTTTTTGTTCATTTTCACTTTCAGAAACAGTGTACCACCTTTTTTTTTTTTGAGACAGAGTCTCACTCTGTTGCCCGGGCTAGAGTGCCGTGGCGTCAGCCTAGCTCATAGCAACCTCAAACTCCTGGGCTCAAGCAATCCTTCTGCCTCAGCCTCCCGAGTAGCTGGGGCTACAGGCATGTACCACCATGCCTGGCTAATTTTTTCTATATATTTTTAGTTGGCCAATTAATTTCTTTCTATTTATAGTAGAGACGGGGTCTTGCTCTTGCTCAGGCTGGTTTCGAACTCCTGACCTTGAGTGATTCACCTGCCTGGGCCTCCCAGAGTGCTAGGATTACAGGTGTGAGCCACCTCGCTGGCCCAGTGTATCACGTTTTAAAAAGTAGTGCTCAACCCTCCTAATAAACACATATCATCAATACAATGACATGTGAATAGGTAGTGCCAAAGTGGGGGACATCTTTTTATGGAAAGATTTACTTCTTATCAGTTCCAAATTTTTTAAAGCCAGTATTTTCTTATATCTCACTTCATACTGGAAATTATTCCTATTATTTTCTGCCTTGCACCAGAATTCATTGTTCTTTCCTATGAAACTTGTTTGCCCACACTCCAGCAAATAGCATATTATACCTACCATGACAGGTGACAGACAGAGTTCAGCAGACATACTCATGAAAACAGAATCAGAATTTATGTCTGGTTTCTTTCTTCCTTGGCTTTATAAAGTTGGGATACAGTGAAAACAAAAACAAAGACTTTCCCCTTTGAAATAACAAAAAGTTCTTTTTCCTTGGGCTGGTTAGACAACTTCTTCCAATCAGAGTTCATTATTTGGAATTTGTCCTTCTGTACTTAGTTCAGTAACATACAGCAAATGTGTATTGAGAGCTTACCCTGTGCCAGGCACTGTGCTAAGCTTTGGGGGTTTAAAGTCAAGACCATTGTCCTTAAGGAGTTTATAGACTAGAGAAGACAGAATTCCTAAACAAATGATATAATTTGAGCTCCAGTAGAAGTATGTAAAAAAAATCCAGAGGAGAAAATGATTAGTTCTGCCTGAAGAAATCAGGAAAACCTCTTAAAAGAGAGCTAGGCCTTCACCAAGTAGAGAGGGGGGACAGGGTTCTAAGAAAAAGCAACAACACTCTGAAAGGGTCAGAGAGGGAGTATCCTGAGAAAAGACTTGCGCTCACATTGAGTATAACTAAAACAAGAAGACTGCTTTTTAAATACTTGAACAAAAAGTTAATTTGCTTTTTTTTTTTTTCCATTTGTTGTCTTTCAAACCTTACTTCTGGAGGGCTTGGTAAGTATCACTTTAAGGTTAAATTTAATACCCTATAGAAGTCTAGTTTAAAATGCAGCCTTATAGCTTCAAATGATTTGCTGGTTTTGCTTTTTGTTTTTGATACTCAAGAAAGGCAAGGAAGGACTAGTGTTTGAGATTATGTTGGCAAGACCTTACCACCCCAAAGGATTTTTAATAATTGAAGTGCAAAAACTACCTGATGACCAACAGTGAGAAAAGGAGTCACTAGTCAGGGAAACATACCAGATACATTTAAAAAAAACAAAAAATTGTTGCCTTCCCACCCCCATTACTTGGCTTTGGATTTCTTTCACTGCCTCAGGCACTTCGGTTTAATTCTTTTGATTTTGTGGAAGTAGTCATTAATACATCACAGGGGTTTTGAACTTTAAGAAAACTGTATATGTTATAAAGCCTTTCTCTACACCCTTATCCCACATTCTCTTGCAAAATTTGGCTGCACAAAGTATTCAGCAGTGGTGCTATGGTAATTGGCTGCGGGGGATGGCATGTTTAATTCCTGGGAGGCTGTCTTGGCTAAGATAGGTTGTTTCTACCTTAACTAGACTTTTGGGGGAAAAAAGGAGTCTTAACAAAAGGCCTTGTTGTATTCATATCCTGTTTCCAACGAGGGACTGATACTCTCTTAAATGAAACCTTCATTTAATAAGTTGCTTTGGATAAAAAAAATTATTCTTACTTTTGAACCTATCTTATGAATTGTGTATTTCATTTGGATTATTTGGAAACATAGTTTACTGGTCATTACTGACTTGAGAGGGTTTTTAATGCGTCCTGAGGTGTCCTTTTCCTGTGAATAAATCCAACTATTTTCTCATCTTAGAGTGAGCAGGAAAAACAAGAACGTCTGGAAACTCAAAGGGAGAAGCAGAAGGAACTGATACTGCAGCTCAAGACCCAGCTAGATGACCTGGAAACATTTGCCTACCAAGAGGGCAGTTATGACTCCCTGCCACAGTCTGTGGTCTTGGAAAGACAGCGGGTGAGCAGACCTCAGAGATGCCTCCATAACTGCCCAAGGTTAACTTCTTCCTTTGGGCATTCCCAGGACATCCTTTCCCATCTCAGTTCTCCTTTGGCCTTACAAAGAATCCTTTAGCTGGCCCAAATCAAAGGGAAATTCTATTCTTATATAGAACCATTCTTTTTTTTTTTTTTTGAGTCAGAGTCTCACTTTGTTGCCCAGGCTAGAGTGAGTGCCGTGTGTCAGCTTAGCTCACAGCAACCTCAAACTCCTCCTGGGCTCAAGCTATCCTACTGCCTCAGCCTCCCGAGTAGCTGGGATTATAGGCATGCACCATCATGCCCGGCTAATTTTTTCTATATATATTAGTTGGCCAATTAATTTCTTTCTATTTTTAGTAGAGACGGGGTCTCGCTCTTGCTCAGGCTGGTTTCAAACTCCTGACCTTGAGCAATCCGCCCGCCTCGGCCTAGGATTACAGGCGTGAACCACCGTGCCTGGCCATAGAACCATTCTTTATTCACACATGGAAAACACTGGTTCTAAAGTTTTATAATACAGTGATTGAGCTCTTTCTTTTTGATGGGCTCTGTTCCTTGGGCTAGAGGGCAGTGGCATCGTCATAGCTCACTGCAGTCTCAAACTCCTGGGCTCCAGCAATCCTCCTGTCTCAGCCTCCCAAGTAACTAGGACTACAGGTCTACCACCACACCTGGCTAATTTTTCTATTTTTTGTAGAGACAGGTTCTTGCTATATTGCACAGGCTAGTCTCAAACTTACCCCTCGGCCTCTCAAATCTCAAAGATTATAGGCATGAGCCACTGTCTCCAACCTTCGTG